AGAAGGATGCTTCCAGTCAGAATACAAAGAACAGAGGAAATGCAAAGGGAGCTGCAGATCTCAGTACGGGACAGCAAATGGAAAGCAGAGGAAACAAAGAGAGCTCTGCAGAGACATTTCATGTTGAAATAGCTAGCAAAAAGCTTCAAAGATTACATAAAATCAACACCACAAACAGACTGCAAAGTTTTATTACTATATACCACCTAACTTTCAAGTAGTTAATTGTTAGGGTCACATCAATCTCAAGTTTGTTAATATACAATGTCATTCGCCTCTCCCTCAGATATATTGTGTGATGATATTAGTGAATAGTAGAACCCAGGTCCTTCTATTCCTAAGATGAAATGGGCTTTATTTTCAACAGCCTGAAAATTATACTGGCACATTATCCTGTTAGTTAAACCATAAAACATTTGAACTCTTCAGGTGTAAAGCAGTTTTTAGTTAGGTGACAACACAAGTAACAGGGTTATGTAAAACCTTAGCATTTCTTTACTTCAGCAGTTTTTCTCTCATTAACTTCTGCCGGAGTGAACAGGTAACTAACAGTAGTCTGCGAGGCATGCTGGCCAAGGAGGTATAAAACATTTTTCTTATTTAGCCTCTTCAAATACACCTAGAGATTTCCAACAACAGTCTGCTAATTCCAACAACTTTTGCAGTCTTATATCAAGGTCTATTCACCTTTAGGATTAAGAGCCCATGCCCCTCCAAAGGATAACAGTGTTTTTAAAAACTTGAGTCCGCAATCCAACCTTAGTTCCTACCTTATTCACCATCCCATCAATGATGAGCATGTGGATTCACTGAAAGCAAAAAGTACAATGAAAACTGAATTAAGCAGATCTTATGAAAAAATGTAACATTTTTGTCTGAAGAAGTGCATTACCAAGGGAACATCTATCAACCAAGTTCTTAGCCTTTAAGTTATCCCCATGACTAATGGCATGTCGCTTTGCTCACAAGACAGCACAATTTAAGCTTCCCTGATAAACCATCACTAAGCCAAGGACTATTTATTTCAGTTCTTCATCAGGTGTCTTCACACATTCACATAACAATATTGACAGCAGGGCACATCCAGGCTTGATTCACAGCAGGAAAAACAGTGCCTATCAGATAGCTCTTCCATACATCATCATCAAAGCTACAGTCAAAGATGAATCCCGTCAGTAAGTGGATGGCAATAAATGCGAAATAGGTAGGACATGATGACACTCCATCAACCCCCAATGCCATTTCTTCCCTTTAAGCCACACCTACTTCTGCTTCTGTGGCTACAAATTGCTAAACTAATAAAAATTACTAGAAGAAAAATCTGTTAGGTTCAAGGCTACAATCAGTTAATCCAGTCCCTACAAATCAGCCACAGCAAGCATGTGAAAAACAAATAACGCTTCCTAAAGAAGACTATGCTGACCTAACTGACCAATGGTAACAAACCAATGGGTGAGAAGGTTTTTTTCTATCTAATCTATGGTTACATTTACCATCAGACGAAAAAGAAACTCCACTGAAAAAGGCAATCAGCCATTTTCTTAACGGTAGTGACTTATCAGGCACATTCCTTGTGTTTCATGTTTGAAAGTGTATTTGTATCTGCTGCTTCCATATGTACCTGACCCTTGTCCTTCTATCACAGTGAAAAACTTCAATCCCTCTGGGCTATGCAATCAATCCCCCACCCACAAACATGGACTGAATATAAGATGATTAAGTTTTCAAATTTCCAAATTACAACAGTTGCAAGAAACAAACAGCAGTTTCCATAACAATTTAAGAAAAAATAAATCTTAGTGCAGCTAAATTTCTATTAAAAATAACACTATGTCAACAGAAGTCTTCATTTATTTCCAAGTGTTCAGATTGTTATTACACATAAGCCATTTAACTACTTTTTATTTGAACATTAAGGTAATTACAGTTGGAGGGCTCATATTTCCAGTGGCCTCTCTGCAGTAGATACCACCAGAGCAAAACATGAAACATTCCACATGGTTAATAACATGACATTTGAGTTACTAGAATTACAATCATCAATTTTGTTGCTAACAGATCACATAAGAAGTACGTAACTGGGGCGTTTCCTTTAACAGAAATATCAAACTTAGTACTGCACTTGTTTAATTTCAATATGAACACCTCTACATAAGAGCAACATCATACATGACAGTTTGATTTATCACACATATGGTACTTTGGCAGCTCTAACTGTGATGTATTTTTCCCCCTAAGCCCCATGGTAGGTTTAATTTATGAAACATATTGCTAATATGCCCTGCATAAACATCAAGAATCAAATGCATCTTTCTTTTGCCCCTTCTATGGGAAAGGAGGGAGTGTTTTTATCTCATATTACACAGCCTTTTCATACATGCACAATTTTCTTCCACATAGATGTACACTTCTACATGTACCCTAACTACCATTTTGTCTGCAAGAAAATAATCTTTATTCAAAAAAAAATCTGGTTTTTCTTATCAAATTAGAAAGACTGCAGCTGTAGACAACTACATGACAAATCACTACCGATTTATTTTAAAATAACATTGAATGTGTCAATTTTTTATCAAGTAATAAGCACATCAGTCATGTGAGGTACAATGAATTCCCTCACAATTTGACTCATCCCATTCTGAGTTCATTTGTGAAACTGGCTGGTTTATTTAGTTACCTTTTTTGTAGGACATTTATGCAGATGGTTAAGATTGGCTCAGGTAAAATATATGATATTTGATCATTATTACAGGCAGAAATGTAACTGGCAGATGGAAAACTATTTTTAAAACACACAAGCTAAGTAAAATCAAACTGCCCCAAGTTTTATCAAGTAAAATTGGATAAACAGTTCCAGTAATTATCACCACAAAATCAGCAAGGGGGTTATCTATGATAGGAACTAATAGTTCTTGGTTAACAAATGCTAATTTATTTGAACGCCTCTACCATCAGTTTCCACAAAAGAACTAATCACTGTATTAAAACTTTTTCACTTACTCCCCCCAAATGAATGAATTTAATTCTCCGCCCTCCTGAACACAATTATATTGTACTCTGATACACAACTGTCATCCAATGACCTACTACCGCAGTAATCTAAATGAGGACAATGTTCCCTTTAATATAATCATGCACTTTAAAGTAGCCACATGAAAGTTTTGAGGTAAAATGGGTGAAATCTAGTTGCAAAGTTTCAGATTTAAAGGAAAAAACGTACCATAAATAAAAAACACCTAGAACCTATTGACAGTAATCTGAAGCAATTTATCTCATTCACTCATCTGTGAAATTTTAGCAGACACTTTGTGTTTATTCTATTTGGTCCAAATATCCCCACATGCCTTTAAGAGTCACTCAAAAAAAACGTTGTGTCCAAAACCGCATCTGCTACCACAAGATACCTCTTCACCCTTTTATTCACCCTCAAGCAGTTCTTAAAAACTGATTTCCTGAGCTATACAGAAACAGCTCTTAACTTTATTTGTAGTATGTCAACAATGGGTAAGTTAAAAAGCAGATGAAGGTATCTGACATAATATTTAAATTAAATAATATTTATTTAATTTATCATGTCACCCTTCCTCACCCTTACAATATCTGTTTGTATTGAATTCTGTGGCACAGGAACAGTCTGTGTATGGCATTTCCATGCATTTCTGCAACATAAACAACTATATTAAGATATTCCAAAATTAAACAAATAATAAATCCTGTTTATCTATACAAAATTTAAATACTACATTAAGTTTAACATGAAATGGGAGAATTACAGTCAAATCAATTAAGTTGCACATTCACTACATAGTCTTGAAATGTCAATTTTCATCAAGTTTTTTCATCTTCCTTCAATTAACTGAATTAAGTCAGAAAATGAACTCTTCTCCAATTCCACTAACGTATATTTCTTCAGTGCAGGTATTATGTGTCAGCTAACTTCCGTACTGGCATGCCCCTCAGCTTTCTCAAACATCATATTCTCCCTTCTTCATCCCATCATTTGTGACACCTACCAAGAAGCCCTTCAACTGGGGCAGCATCTAGTCTAATAGAACTTCCACTGGACAGAAGCTTTTCTTACCAGAACAGTACAATGGTTGACAAGTGAAGTTTGCCAGAGTCATGATCCACTGTGTACCAGCGCTCTGCTGCAAGCACCAAGTATCTTCTGCACAAAAGATAAAACAGTTGTGCACATGTAAGCCACACAAAGCAAGCCAAGTTAAGTGGTCTGGGCAGGCAGTGTGGACAGGGCAGATGCATGATTGCCAGACATTTCGGCTGAAACAATTTTAACCCTGTTTGACTGTTTAACCTGTGTTACAGCCTAGTTTAAGCATCGCTGTTTAGGCAATACTCTCAGATGAACAAAAGCCCTACAAAGACAGGTTAACTGTTCTTTTCTATAGAATAACTAGTTAGTATGTGTTCAAAAATTAATTTAATGCAAAGTTTGAAAAGGGTACCTAACTAATAATCACATCTGGAGCTTTTAAATACTATCTTATTCTGAGGTATATGTCTATTACTGTAAAAGTTTATGCATCACACTCTAAAAATCTAGGGTTCAAGAAAAAAGGCTAATTGTATCTTCTAAGTCAAGCAAGCTATAGAAAAATGGGAAGAAATAGCATGTGGCTTGTGTTCAAGTGTTATTGTTTAGCATAACACTTCATGCAAATAATGCAAAAAAGTCTATATACTCAGAACTGTTTACATCTGAATAAATACGGTAAATTAGCAAATAGAGTATTTAAAATTATCTACAAAAATGTGTTTTACCAAGTATTCACTGTTTGTATCAAGTCTTAAAGCAGAAAGCTGTCAGGGCAATACCAAAGAGTAAAATGAAAGAAAAAATTAAATGGAGACATTTTAAGAAATCTCCTCAGAAAACAAATTCATATTTACTGTTAACTAAACTGAAGCTAAAACAAAGGCTAAAGCTATCAGGCGGCCTTATCAACAAACACCTTCAATCAAAAGGCCATAAACAAGTATGCTTTACATATTATTTGATTTGTTTATTTTACACCATGAGGTGAAAGCAACACATTTCCTTTTAGTAAAGTATACACAAATAGCCTCACTCAGAATACACTTTTAATGCACATAAAAAAAGTATTCATCTTACAAATTGTTTTGCAATCCAAATATACAATAGCTTGGAAAACAATATTTTAGAAAACTAAAGCCAATGTAAAAAGACCGCTTAAAACAACAAAAATGATAAAAGTTTCTGTATGGCTCTGTCTTTACAGTTTTCTTACTGCATCATCAATATCAGAAATCTGTTCCTTCAGCTGGTTCCACTGTTCTGGATTTAAAGAAATACCTGAAAGGCATTAAAAATAAACACTTAAGACAAAGAAAATTGTGGTGCAGGATCTTGCATAATTACTATCAAGGCTGGTTTCATACACAAAGTCTATGTTATAACTACTAATGCTTGAACTACTTCAACAACCATCTTAGTTACAAGGTGAAACTACTCATTTGGAACACTTCAGTTTAACTTTCGACTTATCTCTGGACAAGTTTAAATTACAAAGAAAATGAATATGGTGTAATAAATTCATTCCCAAGTATCAGGCTAAAGACAGGTAGTGAAATACAGCTCTGGCCTTGACAGAAGGCAGCACAAGAGCCCTGGGTGAGAAGCAGGAAATCATTCATATTCCACTTGGCTCCTAAAAGCCATATCTCTGTAGACTGAACTTCTATGCACTTTTAAAGTACCATAATTCTGGGGTTTTTATCCCCTCCTGTTTCTTAAAGCACTGTAAATAACACATACGGTAAGTAATATTTTGGAGAGACTCTGTTCCATTCCCTAGCACTCACAAACCAACACGGAAGTTATTTTTTCACTTCAAGTTCACTCCAGTTTCTAGTGACATTCAATTAATAATCATTCAGTGCCCCACAACCCATCTCTTCAGTTCCAAATTTGTAATTCCTCAAGCTTGGGCCCAGGCACATGTTTCCTTTGTGCTTTACTCTCCTCATTCTTTACCTACAATCTCTATGCCAACTCTATGCAAGTACAGACTCACAGGTCTACCTCTCACACTCTCCGCAGCCAGACTCTTCTACTATTTACCCCCACTCTCCCCCCTCAGTGATCAGGCTTCCTTCATTGCTTTCCCCTGTAGGTGGAGCAGGATCTGAAAACAGGTGAAACTTTTAATTCCATTTTTGGGGCTCATCATATTTTTTTTTCCTTCTACCATCACTGTTTTACCAGTGCACCACCATAATTTCGAGCAGCAAGCAGTCTGCATGGAGCTACTCTAAGCCGTTTTCCACCAGTCTTTAGAGGGTGCTTCTTTTGAGAACAGTTAGGTCAGGTGTGCTAACCATTATTAGGGGACCAAATGTCATCAGGATGACCCTGAATCACAGACAAGATGAACTGCGCACAATTAAGACCTGCTGTTTGAAACAATCTGACACAATAACTTCAATTGTTGGAGTTTTTTGTTGTTGTTTTTTTATTACACAATTTCAACTGCTTATACTGTTTTTAGGATAGCTAGATAAGCAGCTTGTAAGTGCATCAATGAAACATTAGACTCACATACTGTATCAGATCATTATTAATTTTATCCTAATAAAATTCAAACCCTTTTGTTACACTGATAAACATTTCTATGTACATAATGTAATTTTTGTCACTTGGCCTACCTATCAAATCTCGTAGTTCGCCACTCAAACTGCATATACTTTTGACTTCCACCTCAAAACACGGCAGGTTAAAGTCCTCAGAATTTAGAGTAATCTTTTTTGCTAAGGAGCAACAACAAATCCTAAACAAGAAATTTTCTTGTACAGTACCAGTGCACCTGTTCATACAAACCTATTCTCAGTGGTTATTTAAGAAATGTTGAAAATGCTTCTCAAGCTTTCCAAATGTCTACTCACTGAGTTGCTCCTGGACACACCAGAAGAATGTAACAAACCTTATGCTGATTGTACATTAAATGTCTTCAATCTCCAGAGCAGAATGTTTCATACTTACCTCTTTCCTTGGCACAATATGAAAATAGATTAAAGGAGGTTTTTCTAACAGAAGTAACATGACATTAAGCAAAGCACTACTACTGCAACTATCCTTGCATCCTCATCTTGCAGGTGACAAAGTTCTGAAAAAGGTTCAGTAAAGGCATGCCATAAAACGCAGGTATGGGAGCAGCAATTAAAGGTACAAAGGCTTATGCTGTGCTGCAGATTAGAAGCACAGTACCGAAACTCGAACACTTGATGTATTTTCACCTCAACAAAATCTGGACTTATTTTTTCCACAATTAGCTGCATCAAAGGTTTTAATTATTTTAATCTAAAATTTGATAGAAATCAGAGGACATAATTGTTTTAAAGAAATTAACATCACAAATAAGTAAGTTCAATCTTATCAGTGAATTATGAAATAAGAAATCCTATTGTAATAAAAGAAAGAAGTTGTGTTGATTAAGTTAGTCAATGGGGGAAAAAAAAGTATGGCTATGTTAATAACTCCCATACCAAATCTGCTTGTATTTGATGCCTTGTTTTCCATAAATCATGGAGGATTCATTTAGGAAAACAGGCCAATGAACCCACTTTGCTTTTGTCCATAATCTACAGATAACTAACCATTTGTTAAAATATAAATTATGAAAAAGTCAAAATATCACTCTAAAAATATCATGTAGCAACAAAGTATCTGATACGCAAATTTCTCCAGCAAACAGCAGACAATCTTTAATACAAAATAACATGAAGCAGAACAATACCTTTTCTGCCAGGCTTCATTTCACCTTCTTGATCCATCCAATATTCTCTAATATCAATTAAGACTTTCCCTTTAAAGTCACGAACACTGACATACCTCATTTTGCCAATCTGTCAAAACACATATAAGGGTCTTTTAGGTATTTTACATATTACAGCATTCACTTTTCCCAGCAGTATCGGACTTGGACATGTGACATTGCACACTGCCGCTTATCTTAGACACCAGAGAAACGACAAGATCAAAAGCTTAATCCAGAGTAGTCAATAGGCTAATAAGTAACGACATAAAAATGCACTGACCATTCAATGGTCAATGCAAAAGTAGCTCTCCTAGAACAGAAATACCTATATTCTTAACATGCTTACTTCTTACAAAAAACACTAACTTACTGTTTTCTGAAATAAAATTTTGCCTCTATTATAACCATCTTTGTTTGCAGCAGTTGTAAGCAAATAGGGAGCTCTACTCATAAATCTAAATTTTAGTCCATTCCATAGGTACAGAAAGCATATTAGATATTCGCATAAGATAACTACAATTTCTAGAGGGTTTTTTTTCCTTTTTTTTTTAAGCACAGTAAATACAGATGGAAATGAACGGTAGCCATCAGCTGTCCCATGCCCACTCCTAAGTCCTCATGGCACTTCATTGGAACTGTGGTTAAAACACTATCTCACTGTATCAGGTGTTCCAAAACACCATTCAAATCCTTCAAGTTTATCAGCATGTAGCACAGTATGAAATGTCTTTGGAATTCCTAATTTCTGCACCACAGTGGCTTAACTGAATAATAAGGTTGTCTTTTATGGGGGGAGCAGGCAGGGTGGTGCCGCAGGGAAATGGGTGCAGTCACACTGACAACTATGTATTACACTACACATTTAGGCTAATTAAAGATCTTTCAAAATTTGATAAAAAAAGATTTGTTCACATAAATTCAAAGTATAATGTGAATTTGAGAATCAGAAATTAGATAATAAAAACACAATCAAACACAATTCATGTAAGAAATTGTTAGAATTATGCATGCACCTTCTGGGTACATGTTATGAAGAACGAACACTTTCTAAAGAAAACAATTTTAAAACAGAATATTCCTTCCTGATAAAACATTAATTTCCAACTTCCTTATTTTATGCATCTTGCATTTTGATACAATTTAACAAGGGCCCATACACATCTTACTAGCATTAAATCTGATCAGAAAGGTTGAACAACTCTCCAATCAACTAAAACAATCCACAGATGTTTAGGTCTTAAGCTGTTATTTCACAAAACAGATATAAGCAAGAATGCTTTAGGCTTGCTTAAAGTAATTTTTCTTCTCAGGCAGATCATGCTAAATTAACTCTAAAACTGATTTTAAAACAATTAGGACATCTTGAGATACCATAAGCCTGAAGCAGTTTTCCTACTTCAAAGCATCCTTTCAAATGAACAAGACATAGAATCATAGAATCATTATGGTTGGAAGATACCTCAAAGATCATCAAGTCCAACTGTATACCCAATGCCACCAAGCTCGCTAAACCCACTAAAACGTGTCTCGAAACATTACAGTTTATAAAATATATTTTTGATTGATTTATTAAATACTTCTACAGTACTACAAATTTAACAAAATTTATAAATTTAACAAATTTAACATTCAAAAATAAGGTATGGTAGCTTAGTTCTTTCAGACCAAACTTGGTACCATGCCCAAGTCCGTCAGCACTGCTGGCAAAGAATATCCTAATCAGCCTACATGAACAACATTTGTTGGTTTTACCCTTTAACACTTCAGTGACTTTTAAGGTCACCTCTAAGAACAGCTTCAAGTAGTAGTACTCTGTAACAGCTTTTTTTTCTGGGGCTATCAAAGAATAACAGTGCATTGCCAAGTAATCCCAGATTTGCTCTAAGAAATAAAATCTGATACAATATAGCAATTACAGCTGCAAATACAGTAAAAACGTTTAGTATTTGAATTTTAAGACTAAGACTGTATGTCTTAATTGAACTACAGAAAGGTGAAGGGCAATAAAGCCAAGTTCTCTTTTACTCAGTGAGTCAGTCTACCTTAAATCGAAACAGTTCCATATGAAAATGCTGAAATTAAGTTAGGTTTTACATCACTGTCTAGATTTCAGCTGAATGTTCACATTAAATTTTGAATGTTTAGTTGAACTCTATGCAAAAGCTGCCACCAGTAAAAGCTTTAAATAGGTTTCTAAAGTACAGTTTCAATTAACATCTACGGTTAAAAACCTGAACCAAAATCTAGATTTAACTATTTAAGTAAAGCGATGTTTCTTCATGTTCAGTTAATTACCTGCAATTCTGGCACAGATTCACTTCTGAACAAATCTTTTTTCAAGCAGTAGCTGATAGTCCTAGAATAATTTCACCGAACTAAGACATTTTTGTATCTCTATCACCACAGTACTGATCCAAGGGTTGTATTGATTGATAGCAGCGTAGTTACTGCAGTTCAACCTTCACAGACAAATTCATATGCTTTTTATTAAATATTACAGCTCCTTAGATTATACTATTCTATTGAATTACATAAATCAGAAGACATTAAAAGCATTATTTCCAGGTTTCTGTTTCTTAAAATAAAATGCACTGAACTGTGTCTTGGTTCCTTTCACAGCTATGCAACTGACTTCCTGTCAGCAACCACCTTCTTCACCATTTTTCCTCCTATTTCCAGTTTGTCTTTAGTAAACTGTATACACACTGTAGAAGCATAAACAGCAAAAAAGCATCCTTTCTTAGGTGATAACTTTATGTATAGCATTAGAAGGAGCACAATAAAAAGTCCTGTAAACAGTGAAATCTGCAGCACATCAGATTGATTGTGAAATGCATTAGTGACCACCTAAGTTTCAGAATTTATGTGCTAAATGAATCACCTTTCCAGAACATCATAAACTTATATATTTGTGTACTTTCAGCAGCCTACAATAAAGACATTACCATGGGAAACCAAAGAACTTATTTCTCACAAATCAAAAAGCAAATACAACCCAAACCTAAAAAAAAAACACGGGGGGGAGGGGGCAGGATAACACATAGACAGACAGCTTTCGAAGTAACAATTTCAGTGAAATCTCTGATCATGCGATGTGGTTCCACTCTGGGCAGTCATTAGTACTGCATCCTGACAGCATTAACAAACCTTATCCAAATCAGGCATAGGTAGATGACAGGATTTGTCAAACTAACCAAAGCACATGATGCAGAGCTCACACTGGCTTGAAGCCACAGACAGGAATCTAAGGCATCAACACTAAACCCTTCCACATTAACATAAATAACACTTGTCCTCAGGTCCTCTAGTAATACATAAATTTCCACACCCCAGCTGCACCCAAATCCTTTAACAAACTCCAAAGTATACTAAGCTACCTATAAAACCTAAAAAGGCCAAGACATGTAAATAAATAAAATACACTTCGTCTCTTATACAGAATTAATTCCCTTCTACTTACATTTATACTATTCTTCATAATTAGTTTCAAGAATACCATTACACCAACATTAGTCTCAAACAAAAATAACGAAATGTAGATCTTTTTGAAAATGCTGAATCTTTGGAATACGGCAGTCACAATGAGCTCTATATTCAGGGAAGCTGTATACTTGAAGAATGCAGCCTAAGGGTGTAGAACAACAAGCCTCTCAACTTTCACATCATTTGCTGCACAATATGGACACCACAGAACCTCTGACTATCTTTAGAATGCTTTACAGTCTGATTTCCATCAACTGAAACCACATTTGTAAGTTATACTGCAAAGTCACTTGCACATCAGAGGTCACTTTACAGCCATGGGAAAGCAGAAAGGAGAGTTTCTAGTATTACTAATAATCCTAGAACAAACAAAACCATACCTAAAAACTAACATGCAACTAGATCTTCTAGCATGCTCTCCTGGGTAGGGGGGAAGAGAGAGGAAGTATCCCCAGACCTACAGTGCTACTTATACACTGAAACAGTTGCATCTTAGTTAATGCACACAAGTTGATCTAGCATGAAAAAAAACTCACAAACTTTCACATAACACAGTAAGCGATCTAAAAAAAAATGTTGATTAACTAAAAGGCAGGCAGAGACTAAATAACACTGATGTTTTAGGTCAAGGTGATATTCAAATATTTTTTCTGTATTATACTCAACACTGGAAGAATTCTGTTCTTATCAGACTAACAGGAGCCCTCTACCGTCTGTTTTTAGTAACTCTTTATTATCTTAGGTCAAAAAGGTTGAAAGAAATCAGAGCACACAAATACTTTTGCTTTTATTTGAAAGTTTTGGGGTTTTGCATCAGGGGAGCATTTAAAATTTTAACAGCTTTCTCCAAGGCTGGAATTTCTGAACTTATTACAAACACAGCATAAAGCATATACATAAGTTTTTTGAGTTCTACCTGCAGTTTACCTAAGGTGTAAAAGACACTATCCCATTTTCCTACGTGGTTCAAAGCACACCCCAGCAGAACTAAAAGTACTATATTCTTCCTTTGATGGGGAAGTCCAGGCATTGCCTTCAGCTGAAGCTCTCCCTCCTAACTATATGTGAAGACGAAAGTGAGAATTGATATATTAAAAATAACTAGGCACCTCTCCCACACCCTTTCACAAACTTAAGAATCAAAGTCTCTAAGAATTTAATTTCCTTTCCATCCAGCTAGTCAGAGACATTTATTAATTCTTGATCCATAACCCCAAAACAGGAAATTCTGAGCTACGCATATTTTTGCACAGCTTTCGGCACACACACACTGCTACTGCGTCAGCTAACTCCGGGAACTGCAACACCCTGAATTCACAAATGCATCTTGCTACTCAAAAACATACATTCTTCCCATCTTAAAAACAAGCACAATGTCAAAAATTACAATCTTTCTGGATGTTCAGTCAGAAAAATCTGCATCACAAAACAAAGAAATAAGCAAAACTTACTCCAAGACACCATCTGACAAATATAGGAGCCAAGTTGCCCTTGACCTAGTTAAACAAGAATGAAGAGTCCACACTTTTGTTTCCAAGAACCATTCTTTCAAGAGTCCTGATTAAAAACATTTCCACGTAGAGACAGTCCTTATCTAATATTTACAGTATGCTCACGGTAAGTGCTGTATTTACCACAAAATGACTACCCAGAGTTACCCTGGGCAAAGACATGAGGGTTAGATCAATTGTACAACTCAGATTCTTTTACTCAGCCTGACAACGCTTTTTCTGAGCATCTCATCTGCATGCTAGCATCATAATCCTCATTGGCCAAGGATGCAGGAGACCAAGCACTATGCTGTCAGGATATTCAGATCACCTCATAAAATTCATACTGAATATGATGCAACATGTCACCTTAACCAGGCTCTAAGAGTCATCAATTTTACCTGAAACATATTCTCGTCTCTGTTACTGCTTTGCTTAGAAGAAGCTGCACCTTTTGAACTTTCACCAGTCTTTTGTTTCTTTACAGGCTTTTCTGGAGCTGCTTGCTTTTTCCGCTTTGCCTTGGAGCAAGAATAAAAAAAGAAAAGAATAAACCACAACTCAATCTGTAAGTTACAGAAAATTTTACATTAGAGGTCACACACTACTACTATGCCATGCACATTATCACCTTCCTGCTCTGAAGGCAGAAATCCAATACTGTACATTTAGATTGGAATTAAAAAAAAAAATATCTTCAAATGAGCCTAGTTCTGTTCCCAGTGAAATTTACCATAATACTTTGGCTTTAAAGAGAACTGAATTAGATCAAAATAAATTTCAAAAATCCTACTCTTTTTGCACAGTAATACTGTTGGTTCAGTACTTTTAATAAAAAATTTTAAGTCTGACAAAAGTTTCACCTTCCTTCCTACATAGTGCAACAAAAAATGCAGGACAGCTTACACCTCTTCTAAAAAAAAAAACCACCTAGATGAGACAATGAAGAAACGATCTGGAAATCACCTCCATCAGAGTAGTCTTATTTTTTTAGAATCCACATCCAATCTCTGTCCACAGCAGGATAAATTAAAGATATTTTCAAAACATTCAGACAGTATCACCTGTAAACCAAATTACCTGCACATGCTACAAGGTTACTATTTCTACTAATGGATATATAGTAACCATGCCTGCTGGGGGGAGGCGTGGGAGAAAAGAGTAATACAGATACCAAAAATTAGTCTCACCTGCTAGAATCATACTGTGGATAACCTCTTTTAAAGACAAACAGTTCCAACAAGTATGGCAGGTTACAAAAGAAAAAAAAACAAACATCTTACTGTCCACCAAAACAGACTGTTAGACTATGTCTTTCCAGGAATACAGTTCCATATAAAAAAAAAAAAATCACCTGACCATCTTCTCTTAAGATCTGACAGACTGTCTAATTTACAGAGTACAACCAAGTCATGTTTGAACCAATTCAGTAAAGCAGATGGAGTTTCTTCACATACTACATTAAAAGAACTGATGTCTGTGTTACCACCTAATATTTCTTAAAAAGATACACTCACGGGGGTTTTTTCTGGTTTTGTTTGTAATGACTGGTACATCTATATAAACTTATAAATTCAGTAACTATTAAAAACAAATGGGAACACTGAATTTATACATTTGAAACAGTCAACATATGTTAAAATTAATCAACTCAAAGACATTCAGGTTGGCTCAGCTTTAACTGAGAAACTAGCAAGTAGTATTACAGTAAATGGAAGAATCTGAAATAGAGAAAACGAACATGCAAGAAAGATAAGCAAGTGGCACATGGAGGACTGGGCAAGTGGAGGGTTTTGTTTCGAACAAGTAATCCAGATACCAAAAGGGAGGTGGAGGGTGTTTGCACTTAAAATTAGTCCAAATTCTTGCCACCAGGGGCAGTTTATACAGAAGTTTTCTATCACTTGCCACAAAGCAGCAAAGAATTCCAGGAAGCTTGTGGTTAGATATGTCATATGGAAAACCCTGAAGAGAGCAAAATGCAACTTAAGAAAAAAAGTTTACTGCAAGGCAAAAAGCATCCTATCCACCCAAACCTTAATCTTGGGAGGTGGGGTTTTTTTGTTGTAGTTGTTGGGAAGGTGGGGGGAGTGTGTGGAGTGGTTTGGGTTAAGTTTCTGATAAATCATATGGAATGACATGCATGTTGTGACACAATGTTCACCTAATTCCTTAAGCCCAGCCTGAAATATAAGAGTTAATACAGTAGTAATAAACTGTATAGAATGTTCACCTTTTTGTCAACTTCACTATCTGAATCACTGGCAGATGAGCTTGAAGACACAAGTTCCTTTGACTTAGGCATTCTAGGAAAAGAGAAATAACATGAGAACATTATAAAAGGAATATGTCCCATTACAGCTGAAAAGCCATCTTCAAACTTGTTTGTAAAGGCTCATCTTATTCAAAATCCCCCTAAAGCCTTTCCTGTTTTTTCATATAACCTTTGATACACATTGTAGATGTGATCTCAAACACACTCTTTCCTCTTATATCTCCCTCTTTCTGCTGCAACTGCATTAAATGTAGTGTTTCAGTTTCAGAACCGTTTACAAGGGGACGATTTTTCACTAGTTTCATATACCCCTAGATATGGCAGAAACCATAATGTAAAAAATACAATATTCTCCTACAGTTGAATTCTTTGTATTATATTCACAAATATACACTATTAAGTGCTAGCATTATCTATACTCTCGCATAGGTATTTCGCCCAGTTGGATTTGTAAGCAACATGCTGCATAACTGTCATACATGAAGCTAAAGTTCTCATCAATAATACAAAAGTCAGAAAACTCCCTCAGTTACAGTGAACTACAGTATTGAAATTAATATCTCCAATGCAGCTTTAACACATCAGTCACTAGAGTCTATTCATTTGACAGACAAGCAGACATTCAACTTTCCTTGAATGCATTCTGCCAGGTGTGCCTCTACATCTCTCTGGTATGCAAATATGTGGTTAGATATAGCAGTTGCACATCTTGCGTGCTACTAGAAACTCTTTGTAACAAATAAATAGCTCGTTTGTTCTTTCAGAATAAAAACAAGCATCCCAGAGAGAAACTGTATAAAATAAATTACAGCTAGGAAAGGCTAAGAAAATATTAAAGAAGCATATCTCAAGAAAGAAAAAGGAATAGCAGTGTTTTTAAACTGGCAGCAGAAACAACATGTGCAAAGGAAAAAACAGAGTCTGAATAACTCTAATGGATCTACAGTAGGGCAAGTTCTATTGTAATAGCTTGGAGGACAGCTACGGAACCTGTGGCACTGAAAATTAAACAGGGCACGGTGAGGCACACACAAACAACGCTGCAGGATGGAGGCAGAGGAGAGCTGGAATGGGACAATGTGAAAATAAGCACAGCGATGACATTAAATCGGTGACCCAAACAAGACAAGACTGATGGATGGGGGGCGCGGGCACCAGCAGGTAATAACCCTAGGGTCTGCATCAGGATAAGGCAGTAACAATATGGAGGAAGGTGGGGGCGGAAGCTAGAGGACTAAGAAATGGGGGGTGATAGGTGCCTCTCGGGAGAGGCTGTCTGCAGGCAGAGGTGAGGTGACACCGAAGCACCGGTGAAAGCGAGGGCGGAATGAGACGGGTCAAGCGAGAACGAGGGAAAGACAGAGAAGAAAGGCAAGATAGGACGAGCTAGGCACACCAGGTAGGCGGATCTCAGCCGCCATTTTCCTCCCCTATTCCTGTTCTCCACGGCTCGTGTTGCCCCTCACGGGAAACAAGCGAGAGCCTGAATAGAGGGGCGCGGGCAAGGACGCTGAGGAGCTCCCGGGGCAGGGTGGCAGCAAGCAGGCTGCAGGTCACTGGCGGCGGAAGAGAGAAAAGGTAGCACAAAAA